TGCAAGTATTTTGGTACTCACATCATGATCCGCTTTGAAAGAGAGTGAGAAGGAGGCAACCTGTAAAATCGATTCTGATGTGAACATCAGAAGTCTTAGCAGAAAATTCTGTGTGGGAATTAGGATTTGTGTAGCCCCGGGAGTGCTTCTCTGGCCCTCCTAGAGATTCAGCGGTTTCCTTAACATCATTGAACACACCTCCTTTTCTGTTGCCTTGGTTTCTATGGTATGTAATGAAGAACCCTGACTGCTATGTTTGGGTCAAGTATAACGTTGGTTTAATAACTGGTGCCAGGGGGTGGGCATGGATAATTCCTACTTTCAAATTGTGGAAGCAGGAAGTCTTTTGAGAAAGGGGTAGGGATAAGAGATGTCATGGGCATCCATTGTACTGATGACCCGGTGCCCCTTAAACTCCCTTTGTCTTAGTGTAGGTTCCCCCAGAAGCAGACGCTGAAAGAGGATTCAAGTGCAAGCCATTTACTTGAAGTTCAGAGAACACCAACAGGGAGTGGGGAAGGGAGACAGGGAAGGATAAACCAATGAAGGGTGTGTTATCTAGAGCAATTGGAGCTTAATCTTGCTGGGGAATCCTGGAAGACTGTAGAACAGTCTAGAGTTGTTCATCCAAGGCGTGAGGGAGCTGGGGTATTTATCTACCAACTCCCATCAGCTATTGGTACAGAGCTGCTCCCAGGAGCATTAACTCCCTGGCCATTTCCAGCTTGGGCAGAGTGGGTTGCAACAGCCAGAAAGAGCCCTCAAGAAGATAGCCACAGTGCAGGCACTTAGAAGCCAGGTTGTGTGCTTGGAAATGGTAAATGCTGAGGGAATATGGGTGAGACACAAACAGCATCCCCTCCATGCTGCTTCTAGGGACTGTTCCTCCCTCCTGCTCCATTTCAGTATCCTCATGGATCCTGCCATTTTCTTACAGATTTCACCCCTCACCCCAGTTTTGAGGTGGGCAGGCTATTTGTGCTGAGCCAATCTTTGCCCTTTCCCAGGATATATATAATCTATATCTGTATTATATATCCCTATCTATCTATCATCTATCTATCTAACCAACCAGGGTTGTTGGACTCCTGAATCAATAGTAATTGATAAGAGGCCAGATGAGAAATTCAGGCAAGGCTCTACTGGGACTCGTGCTGCAGCACGAAGGAGCAAAAACAAGTAACAGCTCCCCTTGCTTGCTTCCTGAAGGGGAGTGAGCTGGTAACTTAAATTGGGTGAGGGTAGGGGTGGGTTCATGGGTCCGGGCCGGAGGGTTGGCTTAGGCGGTTGGCCAACCCACTTGGTGGTGCTGTGTGCAGGGACCACGTGCAGTATCCTGCTTTTGCTCCTGACACCTCAGAGGTGGTAGTTGGGTTTTTAATCTTTTTTTTTTTTTTAATATTTATTTATTTATTTTGGCTGTGCTGGGTCTTAGTTGCAGCATGTGGACATCTTAGTTGCAGCATGCATGTGGGATCTAGTTCGCTGACCAGGGATCGAACCCGGGACCCTGCACTGGGAGCACCGTTGTGGAGCACAGGCTCTGGACGCGCAGGCTCAGTGGCCATGGCTCACGGGCCCAGCCTCTCCGCGGCACGTGGGATCCTCCCGGACCGGGGCACGAACCAGCGTCCCCTGCATCGGCAGGCAGACTCTCAACCACTGCACCACCAGGGAAGCCCGAGGAGCCATGTTTAATACAACCTGTTACCACTGGTGGTCATTAGGGCCAAGAGCCAAAGAATATTTATTGAGCATCTGCTATGTGTGCTGGGGACACAACAGTGAACAAGACAGAAAGATTCCTCTTCTTATGGAGTTTCCATTCTAGAGGAAGTGGCAGACCGTAGAAATAGGAATACATAAGTCAGAGAATTTCAGACATGACAAATACAGGAAGAAAATGAAATTGGTAGGAGGTGACTTGAGCAGTGGTGGCCAGGAGAGGCCTCTGTGAGTATGTAGCATTTGGGTTGACACCTGGAGGATGAGAAAAGGTCAATTATTCAAAGACTTCAGGAAAAGCATCACAGACAGGGGGAACAGCAGGTACAAAGGCCCTGAGGTGAGAATGAGCTTGACTTATTCAAGAAACAGAAAGAAGACCAGTGTAACTCGAGTAGGGGAAGTGAGGTGAAAAGAGACCCAAGGGGAGGACACAGAGATGGGAGGTCTTTATATGAACATATGTTTTTATTTCTCTCTGGTAAATGCCTTCTTCTGCAGAATTGCTGGATCTATGCGTAGGTGACTATTTAACTTTATAAGAAACTATCAAACTCTGTTCCAATGTTCTATTTTACATTTCCAATTGCTCCACGTCTCTGCTGACACTTGGTAGGGTCCGTGTTTTTAATTATTGTCATTCTAGGGACTTCCCTGGTGGTCCAGTGTCTGGGACTCCACACTCCCAATGCAGGGGGCCCAGGTCTGATCCCTGATCAGGGAACTAGATCCTGCATGCCACAGCTGAGACCGGGTGAAGCCAAATAAATAAATGCTTAAAAAAAATTTTTTTTTTGTCAGTCTAGTAGGTGTGTATTTCATTGTGGTTTTAGTTTGTATTTCCCTAATGACTTATGATGTTGAGCGTTTGTTTCACATGTTATTCGGCCAGTCACATCTCTTGTTTTGTGATGTGTCTGTTCAAATCTTTTGGCCATTTAAAAACGTGGGTTATTTGTCTCACTTTTCAGAAAGCTTCCTCTGGCTGCTGTGGGGAAGATGGACTGTAGGGGGCAAAAGTGGAAGCAGGGAGAGTGGGGAGGGACTGTAGCTTCCACAGAGGCAAGCTTGTCACAGACTCAGCACACAGCCTGCATTCTGGGAAAGTCAGCTTTGACCTTCCCCAACTCTTGGGCTGCTGCCAGGAGAGACTGAGACACTTACAGATCTGGTGGCCAGGGGGGCAACCCTGCTTCCTGGAGTCTGGCTCTGGGAGGAGGGTGCTGGCCTCCATCTCAGCCTGTTCCTTTTCCTGTGGAATGGAGACCAGGGAGTGGAGACCAGCCCAGGCTGGCATATTGGGGTCTGCACCAGTAAAGTTGTATCTGTCGCTAAAATATTGAAATATTTCACTTTTGGTTGGTAAAGAGCCTCTATCCCACATCCCACAAATATCTACCGCCACCCCAGTCGGCTCCCTTGGGACACCTCAGACTTCCCCACATCTCATCAACCAAAGGGGAGCCCCAGGACTCTGATCCAGCCCTGTGTCCACATCTGTTCTGACTGGGTGCTGCCTGGGAGTGGGGCTGTTAGACTGGGGACAGCCTGGGCCTGGTTGGAGTTGGAAGAATCAGATCAGGAGGCTGAGGCTGAGAGGTAGAGGGAAGATTTTTCTCAAGGCGACCCCAGAACTGAAGACTTGAAGTTCTAATAACAGTAACAGCAATGATGTTGGTAGAGATTAACATTCATCGAGCATATACAATGTGCCAGGCAAGCCTGATTCTAACAGACCTCACAAAATCCTCACAAGAAACTGGACTATTGCAGCATCCTGGCCCCCAGCTCCTGCCCTGCCCCACCACAGTCTGCTCCCCCCCCCAGCCAGAGGGAGCCCTGGGAACACCCGAGTCAGATCAAAGCCCTCCTGGCTCAGAGCTTCCTCTGGTCTCTGACTGCCCCCCGGCTCGCTGGGCTTCAGCCACCTCGAGATGCCTGATGTGCCAGTAGGGCCTGCAGGACCTGCTCCCTCCAGACCTGGTGGTGGTGGTGGTGATGGTGGGGTGTTGATTCTTCTGCGGCAGGACTCAGCCAGGCCTGGGCAGTGGCGGTGTTAGCAGCCAGTGCTGCCTGGGACTCGGCCCTGGCCCTCTTCCAGACACTGAATACTACGCCCCCGCAACAGGCCACTCAGCGTCTGTCCCATGACCAGCATCCAGTTTCCCCTTTTTTCTCCTGAGCCCGGCCCCCTGGGGAGCTGTGGGTGTCGCCTGGACAGGGGAGGGGGTCTTCCTGCTGCTGGCCCTAACCTCAGGTTCCTCCTTCCCCAGCCCCGGCTCATCTCCTGCTGGGGCTAAAGTCCTTGTCATCTCCTGGGTGGCCTCCCTCAGTGCTCGCTTCCAGCCACTTCCTCATTTGGTGGGAGCAGCCTAACCTGGCCCAGTGTTACCACGTTTCCTCCACCTGCCTCACCCCAAAGCCCCAGTCCTGCATCTGTGCTGTGTGTATCTGTGTCACTGCCTATTCCTCTCCCTCTTTCTCTGCCTTCCCACTACTTTCTCCTTCCCTATCCTCCATCTTGGTGCTTTTTTCTTTCTAAGGGTCAAATATTTGTCTTTGGGTCCTGGGTTCCATTTCTGCCTTTATGTTCTGTGTCACCTTGGGCAAGTGTCTTTATCTTTCTGTAAAATGGGGATCCGAGCATCTCCCTCAGATGAGTGTTCTTGGGGGTTAAACGCATGAACACTTGGGACGGGGTGCCTGCACGTCGTTAGTACCCGTATCCTGATGGCTCTCTTTTAATATCCTATGAACATCACATGGTTCTGATTGTCAAGTAATTATAACTGGTTCTTATAAAAAGCTGACAAGGGTCAGACCCTGTTCTAGAAATATTAATTCATTTGATTCCCCACAACAATAGTATAAAGTAGGTACTATTTTACTCCTCATTTTACAGATGAGGAAACTGAGGCCCAGAGAGGTCGAGTGACTTGTTCAAGGTTGTCCAGCCAGGAAGAGGCAGAGATAGCTTCAATCACAGTCAGCCACAGACCCTCCTGTTATAATGATGTCTGACCCCTGCCTAGGGATGGAGGTAGAGTTGACACATGTATCTTTTGCCCTTCGTTCCAGCCATTGGGGGCTGCAGCATGGCCCTCTGGGGTGTCTGGGCCTGACTCTTTGGTGGTATCCGTCTCCGTTCCTCCTCCCCCATCATCCCCTCCTCCCTCCTGCCACCACCCACCTCAGACTTCCTCCTTTACTTGGTTGGACACTACGCCACATCCCATGCGCCTTGGACTGTGGTGTCCAGCAGCGTCACCTGCATCATGGGGGGCCTTGGACCTTCCAACAGGATCCTGTCTCTCCTGACTGTGGGTGGTGAGTTGGGGGCTTTGGCAGCTCCTGGGCTCAGCTCTGGGCAGGAAAGGGAACAGGGCGGAAAGAGAGAACCAAAGGGTGGGGGTTGGTACCACAGCAGATCCCAGGCGCCCCAAACCCTATGGGTCTCTCCCAGAGCTTGCACCCCACAAGATCTGGCCTCTGGGAGAAGCAGAGGGAGGGGATTCTGAGGGTGTTGCAACAGGACACGTCGATGTAGACGTAACACAGTCCGGTGGCCATGATGCCGGCCCGCAGGTCCCTCCAGACGTGGCTCTCCACCGGTGCCTGCTGCCTGTTAGGACCCACCCTACCCAGCTTCTCTGCCCAACCCTCAGTCATAGTCACGTGTCTCAGTTTACCTTCTTTTTCTCTCCTCAGGTCTCAGCCTCGTTCAGGCCCACGCAGGTAGGCCTAGACCTCCCCCTCCCTACCTCCCAAAGACCACCCCACCTCTGTCCCTTCTCCAGTCTCTCCACACCACCCCCTGATGACTGACACCACCTCCCAATTCCCAGCTCCCACTGGTCTCTGACTCCTGTGCCACTTACGTTCCCAGACTGCAGCTGCTCCTCGGTGAGCCCCGGCATGCTGGCGGGGATTGTGCTGGGGGACCTGGTGCTGACCCTCCTCATCGCCCTGGCTGTGTACTCCCTGGGTCGGCTGGTCCCTCGGGGGCGAGGGCCCGCGGAGGGTGAGTGGAGCTGGCCGGGGATAGCCTGGGACCCTCTGAGGACTTCCCTGGCGGGGAGGGATAAGCTCCCAAGTCACGTCCACCCAAAAGGAGGTGATGGAGGGGCGGCTTTTGCAACCAAATGGTCCCAATTCTCACCCCGTCTGTCTCTGAACTCTGCTGTTCCCCACCCCCAAGCAGTGACCCGGAAACAGCACATCACTGAGACAGAGTCGCCTTATCAGGTGAGGAAACCAGCTTTTCTTTCTCACACCTCACTCCTGTCCTGAGGGTGTCTTGTCCCAAATACCCCTCCCCCAGCCCCTGCAGAACCTAGACCCTAAAGCCCACTTTCTCAGCAGCTCCTCAAACGCTTGAAGACAAAGCATCCAAAACTGCTTTCAATGATCAATCACCACCTTATGCTCAGTTTAAAATGTGTGGAGGGGAAATAAAGGGATAGTTTGTCTCAGCCAGAAGGCAGGCTCTGAATTGTGCTGGAAAAGCCCAGCCCAGGACAGGCTGATTTCTCAGAGAACTCTTCATTAAGGGCAGAGGATATAATTCAACCCTAGTTTGGTAACTCTAAAGAGAGGAGCTCTGAATTTGTGGGGGAGGGACCCTGCAGCCTTTGAGAAACTGACAAAAGCCAGAGACCCTTCAGAAAAATCCACACAAAAAATACAAAATTGTGCATATAATCTAGAGGCAGTGCAAGTATCCTTGAAACCCTTCTTAAGAACCATGATGCAAATGTCATCTTTCCATCTCCCACCTCCTGTCAATGCCATTCTTAACCCTTTAGGGGGTCATGACCTCCTCTGAGAATCTAATGGAAGCCAAACAGACCTCTCCAGAAGGATGAACTCCAGACTTAGCATTTGTATATGATTTCAGGGATTCTATCTGAGGCCTGCCTCTTGGGGCCATAGAACCCCACCCCATCCCCATTGTGAACCCTGCTCTGTGAAATCTGTTTTACTTGTCTGCAGCCAACTTTGCTTTGCCTCACTTGTGGATAAAAAGTCTCTTTGCAAAGTATAAGAATCTCAAGTTTGGCTCTGTGAGGTCCAGAGGACTGAAGGGGCTTTCCAGTTACTGGGGGAGGTGGGAGGCAATGAAATTTTAGGGCAAAGCCCCAGTTTATTCATTCCTTTGGTGGAATTTGTTGAGGGCCTATATATGCTAGATGCTGGAGACACAGCAGCAGAGCTTACATCCTAGTTGGGGAGAAACTTTTTTTTTTTAATTAATTAATTTTTATCTTTGGCTGCGTTGGGTCTTTGTTGCTGCTTGTGGGCTTTATCTAGTTGTGGTGAGCGGGGGCTACTCTATTTTGCGGTGCATGGACTTCTCATTGCGGTGGCTTCTCTTGTTGCAGAGCACGGGCTCTAGATGTGCAGGCTTCAGTAGTTGTGGCTCACGGGCTCTAGAGTGCAGGCTCAGTAGTTGTGGCTCACGGGCTCTAGAGTGCAGGCTCAGTAGTTGTGGCTCACGGGCTTAGTTGCTCCGCGGCATGTGCTATCTTCCTGGACCAGGGCTCGAACCCATGTCCCCTGCATTGGCAGGCGGATTCCTAACCACTGCATCACCAGGGAAGTCCTGGGGAGACAGACTTGAAGCAGATTAACAAATAAGATCATTTGGGGAGGCAACATGAAGGAAATAAAGTAGGTTGATGTGACAGTGACTCAAGTGTGTGGGGAAGAAACTATTGATGGGGAAATCAAGAAATGCTTCTATGAGAAAGTGACATGAGCTGAGACTTGAAGGGTGAGAAGGAACTACCCATGGGAATATCTAGGGCACCAATGTTTCAGGCAGAGTGAACAGCACACACAAAGACCCCTCGGCTGGGGCATAGCAATGAGGCAGAGGAGAAGGGGGAACATTGAAGGCACTTGAATAAAGTCCAGATCTCTTTCATGGCTACAAGGTTGAAGGAGCTGCCAGGGGCCTTGCAGGCCACAGGGAGAAGGCTAGATTTTATTTTCAGTTTATTTGGTGGACCCCCTTCACTGATGGTCCACACCCTGTCCATCCCTTTAGGAGCTCCAAGGCCAGAGGACAGATGTCTACAGCAACCTCAACACACAGAGGCCATATTAAAAATGAGCCCAGACCAGGGCAGTTGACAACCTGATGCCTGGATCCAATCATTCCTGATGCCTGCCCAGCACTCTATTCCTACTCCCATCAAGATACGGATCCACAGAGTGTCCACAATGAGACATCAGACCTCTCCCCACTACTGCCCTCAAATAAACATGGAGCACACAAACAATGTTGCGACATAGGACAATGATGCGACAGATCCCTGGGCTGACGGGATGGGGGATCCTCCCGTTCTAGGGGGATCAAGGACCCAGAAACAGCTAAATGAGAGGGAGCCTTTGAGGAACCTGGGTTGTCTGAGAAAGCATTAGGACAAGAAGTATTTCAATTGCTTTATTCCAGCCCAGAAGAGGGTTGGATTTCCTGTGCCGCCACACACAATCCAGGATGACAGGGTCAGAAGTCCTATGTCGCAGTTACTGGGGAGTCAGCCCCTGCCAGGCATGTTGATGTAGATTTTGCCATATTCTGGGGGTGGGGGAGAGAAGGCACGAGGCCTGACCACCCACCTTCCACCCACATCTCCACTTCCTTGGGGACCCCCTGCCTCAGGGGTTTCCTCAGGAGTTCCCCCAAGCACTGCCCCCAGGGTTTCCCCAGAACCTCAAGGGCTTGCCCGGGGGTGCCCGCCCTGGGGACCCCCTCCCTAGGGACACCATGCCTCTTCAGGCCCAGCTCTGTCCCTGCCCTCACCTTGGGTGGGCCTGCTGCGTGGGCACACACACACAAACACCACCACCATGACTAGCAGTGACACAACTGCATCTGCAGCCACAAGGCCCGCCAGGAGCAGCAGGGAGAGGGGCCCACAGCCAGAACAGGAACCTGAAGGGTGGCAGCCAAGACAGAAGGCAGCTGAGGGGGGTTCCAGACACTTGGGCCTGGGCTTTGGGCATATGGGTCAGAGGAAGTCCCTTTGGAGGTGGGTGTCCCAGATTCCCTGGGGAATGAGAGGGGAGAGGGAGATCCAGAGAGAGGCTGGGGGGTGTCCCAGGGCTCCCAGGACTGTGCTTTGGGCATAGTAAGTACTCCTGAAGACAGGCTGGCGGGTGGCCGAGTCCCTGGGCCTTCAGTCTGGTGATGAGGACAGTGAGATGGGGACCTAGAGAGGGCTGCAGATCCTCCGGAGGCTCTGATTCGGGGATGTGAGGTGAGATCCAGGACCCACAGGCCACACTTTAGGGATGGAAGCAGGACCTGAAGTGGTGCTGCAAAGGGGACAGGGTGTTGATTTCTCACCTGGGGTCGTCTGAGCTGCAGCCACTGAGGAAGGAGAGGGAAGGTAGATCAGGGGGGAGAGGTGGTTCTCAAAACAGGGTGCAGGGAAAGGTGATGTCCTGAGAAGAAGCCTCCACTCGGGAGAGGTCAAATAAGAAAGAGGCGCCAAATGGGAGGGAAGCACCCAGAGACACAGAGGGAGACAGGAAATCAGAAATCTTGCCTCACAGGAAATCTCACCCAGCGGTGAGAAGAGGACGAAGAGCAGCCATCCAAACTCAGCTTCCCTCCCCAAAGAACCAGGCCCAGAAGTTTCTCTCTGGAAGGGAAAGGGCACTGGGAGAAGGACCCATCCTCAGCACCCCTCCATTCAGATGCCACCCCAAGCCACTCTTTTCACAAAACTCTGCCTAACACCCCCCATAACCACTGGCTTCACCTGGGAGCAAAAGCAGGAACAGGACGTTTCCTGCAGGAACCATGGTGGGCTGGGGGCTGGAAGAGGTCTGTCAAAGGGCTTTGGTCCAGAGAAGTCCTGAGGAACAATAGGGAGTAGAGAGGCAGCAATAGCGGATGTCACTCTGCTGGTGGCAAGGCCACCTGCTTCCTGTGTGTGTGGGGGAGGGGGAGACGTGATGGATCTCTCTGACAGCCTTTAGGGACAAACCAGGGGGAGGGTCAGAGAGATCAGGGAGGCTGCTGTGATCGTCCAGGTGGGATGTGACAGGTAGACCAGGGTGTGGGCACTGGGGAGATCCTGGAAAGATTTTGAAGGTAGAGCCAACAAAACTTGCTGATGGAGTGGATATGAGTGTGTATGAGAGAGAGGGGTCCAGGATGACCAAAGCTTCTGGCCTAAGCAACTGAGAAGACAGAGCATCCTTTGACAGGATGGAGAAAGAGGGGAAGCAGGCTTGGGGGGAAAGTGCCAAGGTTTGGGCAAACTGGGTTGGAAATGCCTGATAGATCACCCTGTGGAGAAGCTGAATGACCACAGCTGCCTCTTTTGAGTTCAGGCGGTAAGTCTGGTCTGGAGATGTAAATTTGGGGATTGCTGGCTTATGGATGGTATTTAAAGCCATGAGACTGGATGAGATCATCAAGAAAGTGAGTACAGACAGAGGAGTAACACCACCTCCTCCCAACACCAAGAATGGGTGAAGAGGAGGAAACAGCCAGTAAAACGGAAGGAGCAGCAAGTGAGGGAGAACCAGGAGAGCATAGAGTCTTGAGGGCAGGGGAGAAATATGATTTACATGGTCACGAAGATGGGAACTGAGAATGAGCCTCGCACTGGAATGTCAGTTGGCTTGAGGGTTGGGAATTCCTGCCTGCTTAGTTCACAGCTATACCACAGCACCCAGCAAAGTACCTCCCTTGCAGTAATTATTTTTAATGATGAATGAATAAATGAGAACTGGCCTCTGAGAAAGGTGATGTGTGGAAGGGGGTAAATTTGAGTTCCCCTATATCATTCTTACCTACAGACCTTTCTTCCCTCGAGACCAGGGAGTTCAGAACCCCAGCCCCCTTCTCTCTCAGGACCCAATAATACTGGCAGCGTCCCACCCCAGCCCCCCCCC